CAAGTTCCTTAATGTCACTATTGTCATATGTAATACTAAATTAAATGTGCTTTCTGTTGCAGAGATGAACCAGCCAACTCTTAGGGGCTGCTGCGCTGGAGGATCTGGCTCGAGCCAAGCGGGGCTAACTCAAAGGTTAGCTTCCTTAATTAGTATTTGTAATTATAAGTCCAATAATATTGATAATTCTCTTGCTGGAAACCGAGATAATTTGAATCGCGTTAAACCGTAATTATACGCGGGGAGAATTTTTTTCTGAGTAACATCACCACTTGAAAAATGTTGTTCTAATTAAGAGATTTATTTAAAGCGTCGAGAAAAAGAAAAGTGGAATATTCTTAGTATGAATGCATTCCGAAAAATTCTCCCAGCGTGAAAAATATCACCCGCTTATTTTTTTTTAGTAAAGGTAAAGAAAACAGATCTCACCTCCGATCAGTCTGATCTTGACATATGTTATTAAGGACATGATTTTGAGTAACAATCAAAAGGTTTTAGCCGTCGCTCATTGTTTATTAAAAAATTATTAACATAAGAAGTTACATAAAATGAGTGTAATTTTTGGACACCGTATATACAAAAACATCGAATTTGTTTGAAGACTAGGAAGGTGCCAACCGTACGCACATACACACACACAGCGCTTGGACGCCCTGCAGTGTGTGTGTGTGTGTGTGTGTGTGTGTGTGCTGTGTGTTTGTGAGTGCGTGCGTGCATATGCAACTGAACGTAACACATTGTCGCGAGTGACATAATCTAATTTAACCTAAACTAATCTAAACTGTTATGTTATGTCACTTGCAACAATGTGTTACGTTCAGTTGCATATGCAGGTACGCACACACAAACAGCGGCCGCAGGGCGGCCAAGCGCTGTGTGTGTGTGTATGTGCGTACGGTTGGCACCTTCCTAGTCTTCAAACAAATTCGATGTTTTTGTATATACAGTGTCAAAAAATTACACTCATTTTATGCAAATTCTTTTGTTAATAACTTTTTAATAAACAATGAGCGACGGCTAAAACTTTTAAAAGGTCACTCAGAAGGATGACCTTTATAACATATGTCAAAGTCAAGCGCATCGGAGGTGACACCAGTTTTCTTCATCTTTATCTTTTTTTTAATATTGCAAACTTCTTCACTCAAATCAACATCAATGCACGAACCTAATCGATGAAACATTTTTTTGTTCCAGAAACGAAAGCAAAACGTGGCTGCTCTGATCGGTAGATCGGTGAGTCAAACAAGAAAAAAAAATTGGTAATATAAAGACAAAAAGTCTTTCCATGTAATGCATGTTTATGAATCAATGCGATTTACTTTACTGTGGTGTAGTGTGTGTATGTGCTGTCCGATAAAGCACACTGTTCGAAACAATTAAAAGATCGCTTTTACAAACAATGTTAGTCATAATGCATTTTTATAAATTTAGCAAATTTTCAAGTATTTTTCTACCAATATATATATATATATTTGTTAATTGTTTGACTAATTTATTGATTGGTTAGTGATTTTTGTTGAGGAAAATTTTGATAATTAAACGCTAACACTATCTGGCAGATGCCATTAAAATATTGAGTATACACTCTGAATTCAAAATTTTGTAAAATTATTTAGTTTTTTGAATGCGATCTTCCAGTCTCGATCAGTGCACTAACGCGCAGAGATTGCGCCACAGAAAATGCGCAATCACATCACCCACCTCGATAGATCTTCCGCCGGTCGTTAATTTTTTAAGTTTTCTCTCTCGCATGAGCTTGCGTCGTAATTTTATTTCGTAAAGTACAGAGGTCATTATTAAATAAAATTCGATATTGTCGGCGTCTGCGCGAAGCAATCTAACATGATTAATTAAACTGCTCGCGAAATTAATTTCACGATCGTCGGAAAATTTTCAGGTTTTAATTTTTCATTTAGAATTAGAGTTTCCTAACGCAGGACACAATAGAGACAAAACTAGCGAGCGTTGATCCCTCACGAAAAACGCGATGTACACAAGTCAGACATGCGAGCAGTTGTTTGTTCACTTACGCGACGCGCGACAAGTTCCATCAAACGAAGACAGACGTCTCACGCGGTAACATTTTTTTCGTGTGAATTTTGAATAGAATATTTATCTCTATCGTTACAATTTTCATAGTTTTTTATTTTTCATTCACGCTCGCGTTCGCGATTATTAATTTGATAGGTTTGCGAATTTCACCAGATCGTATTTGCGGAAGAGTCGCGAGCGAACCTCACAGAAATATTGCGGAGTTATTATCCGCAAAAGCATTGCGGAATTGTCTTCGCAAAAGTATTGCGGGCTGTTATCCGCAAATATATTGTGGAGCTGTATTGCAGCCTACTACGCTACACCATCGAAACATTACATTAGGGATATTTCGTGAGATAGTACGTGAGAATCTCATCCAGATTACTTCGCTCACGCGTCGAAAGATTTCGTGAGACTTTCGATTCGCGTCGCGCGTGTATCAAAGCGATACACTATAACTCGATCGTACCGTCGCTGAATTCGTCTCATATACTCGTCGTTTATCCTGACATTTCCTCGAAGACGCAGTTCGTGATATTTCATACGCAATTCGCAACTCGAAGTATCCCCCGAGAGAGGCGATATTTTTCGTGAAACCTCCGTTAAATAACCGCGGTCGAGAGTGAACTACAGGCGACGTGAGACGTGAGGACCATTGCAGCGACATGATGACTGGTGGACCCTGGACATCGTGGGACGACGCGCAATGGTGAGCGCTTAATTTAGACGCTTATATAGTAGACACAAAGCGTCACTTTACGTAGATTGCATGCACGTAGACGTAAATCGCATGAGTCCGACGAGAATTAAAGTAAGAATTGGAATTTGCAATTCGCCGGAGTTACGTAAGAATGATCCAATCAAAGAATTTAGCTCTGAGATTTTCGCAATGGAAATGCTTGACTCGTTCAACGAGTCAAGCATTTCCATTCCTTTAAGTGTACTGACTAGCTCAATCCTTAGAAAAATGTACAAAAAAATTGGTAAAAAATAAGGAAACTGTTTCTTAATTCATTTCAAGCATTTATAAGGCCCAAATTTTTTTGTTTGTATTAAAATGATGTAAATGGAGTATCATTTGATAAAAACTTATAATTTTTTTAATTAGATTATTTTTGGATAACAATGGCCAATTGAAATTTCGGCTCGGCAGGCTTCCTTCTCGTCGGATTATCTCTTGATGATACATTAAATTAATATATTTCAACATGTCATATTTATATTCTCTGTATATGTTATATATGCTTTTTTATGCTCTATATATGTTTTATATATACTCAATGTATGCTCTATATATACTATTTAATTAATATACTTTATAACTTGTTATGTCGTATCATATACGACATACTATCTCTTCGGAGATATTTTCTTATGCATACGTGTTTGTTGTTGACAAGACGCCAAATTAAATTTCGACAAATTAAAGACAACAAATTAAATTATGAAGCCGAGACTTGAACCGAAATGTTTCGATTTTCCGCTAAAATATTAAGCCGAGATCCGAACCGATATGTTTTAAGGCTCCACTAAATTATTAAGCCGAGATTCAACCGAAATGTTTTGTGTTTCTGCTAAATTATTAAGCCGAGATTCGGACTGATGAGTTTTGTTTCCGAAAAATTATTAAGCCGTGTTAGTTAAGTCTGGAATAATTTTTTGAAGTTTCTTAAAGAAATTTTCGCATTTGCAAAGGTGTATTTCCGAAAATGATGTGAAGTGTATGTATTTCGCTCTGCATCGTCTCTTGGATGACAATATGTCTTAATATACTCTACTCCCTCAATAATACGCTCAGAATCTTGAAAATAATTTCCCAAAGTCGCGCCCATAACGTTAGATCGTATATATTCGGATTTTCGCGCATACGCAGTGGTAACTATCCTGCGCGTGGACTGAAAGTCAATCATGTACTGCAGGTCAAGCAGTGTTAGCATGCAGAGCACATTTTGGAATACTTTTTGACAGATTTTTAAAGCAACATTTGCGCTTGAAAAGTTATATTTTCGACGTCAGGTGTGCTTATTTCGTTCTGCATCGTTTCTTGGGTGACAATGTTTGTTTGTATCACTCCACTTCCTCAGCAATGCGCGCCCAGAATCTTGAATATAATTTTTGAATATCCCAACGTTGCGCTCATGACATTAGATACGTCGTAGCAGTATTCTCGCGCATGCGCAGTGGTAACTATCCTGTATGAGTCGAAAGTCGGTCATATTACTGCAGGTTAGGTCATATAATGCATGTAGAGCACATTCCGGGATAGTTTTTTTAGAGCTTTTTAAAGTAACATTCGCGCTTGAAAAGATATATTTTTGAAATTGACATCAGTTATGCTTATTTCGTTCTGCATCGTCTTCTGCGTGACAATGTGTGTTTGTGTCACTCTACTCCCTCAGCAGCAATTGTTTTACTATGTAATTACTATGTAATTACTATGTAATTTTGTAGTAATATTGACCCTAAAACAATTTCGATCACCAAATATGAACGAAAATTTGAATTAAACGCTTCAAATCGACCGCCATTTTGGTATCGCCGTTTGTTGAAAAAAATATCCATGGCATATTTTTTAAGTTAAAGTGTCGGGAACACGCTTTAGACACTTTCCCGAGTGATACTAACACGTTTTTATGGAAAAAATAGCGGAAGAAGGAAAAATTAGTCCTAAAAACATGCGTTTTTTATTTTGGTTTGCAAAAATTTTACATAAGTTGCGATTTTTTTAAATTTTCTCAATGCTATTCGATAGAGCGACATCGAAATTGATAGGAATGGTATTCTTTATAAACAACAGACCTCATTTCCGTAGTAAAATTAATGGCTCATATCAACGTAAAATTTCAGCACATTTGGGCGTTAATGGGTTAATCTTATTATTTTAATAGCGGATTGCACTTTTTGCGGTGTACATAAGGAGAAATCGGGAAGGGAAATTAGAGACATCACAAAAGGAGAAGCTCATATAAACCTCATATTTATTTAAAAAGGATGTACAGAGTTCTGTTTGCAAGTATCAACAGCGAGACTCGGCAAGAGCGGCGCACGGAACAAGAATATCACACGGGACAAACGATGAAATAAAATGAGATAATCGCGTGTATGTGTGTGTGTGTATGTGTGTGTGCTTGATTAGAAATGCGCGGCCGCAGCGTTCGAGTCGAAATCTCGCGAATTCGCGACTCTCGGACGGACAGTTTCCATGTCGCATTTTATCGCCCGTCGCTCGAAACGCCGCGCACAGTCGTTTTTCTCTTCGTGTGTGTTTTCATTCTTTCTTTTGACGCAATCAATTCCATATTTATTTATAATCGTGCTTCCATCGGCTGCTTCGCCTCCTACGGAGAGGCTATAAAATGTTTTCACTGCAATATTGCTCTCTCGACGGGTTCTTTGGCAAAACTTATTACACATAGGTCGTCGTCGTCGTCGTTACAATTAATAAATAATAAAGGCATTAAATAATAATATAATAATGATGATGATAATAATAATATAATAATAATAATAATATAATAATAATAATAATAAAATAATCGTGATAATGAAAATAGCGAAAATAGCAAATAGAATAAGAATTAATAATCAGCGTCATTACTATAATAAAATATAACAATGCATAAGTACGCAATAATATCGATTGTAGTCGCGGGATAATCGTACCGAACATCCGACGCAATGATCCGGCCGATGTTGCGGCCGATTTGTCGATTACCTCCAACGTGTATCTCTCGTGCATTCACGCACCGAATATCGCTTCTCGAACTGTCTTCTCGAAAGTAGTCGCGCTACGCATACGCGTTATCGCATCGTGCGCGCGCGCGCCGTAACAGCGAACGATGTTGCGATTCGCGGTTCGATTAGCAATTTCGCGATTTCAATCGCTCATTTTATCCTGAACGAGAAGGCGTGAGCTGCCGTAGAGCGTAACGCAGACGAAACTATCTACGATCTTCGCGACTAATGATACGGTCTAATTATCGGACGAGCGACGATCGACACGGACGGAACATCGCGCGAGAGTTTCGATTCGGGAATTTGGCCAATCAGCTGGGATCTAGTGACGGCAATCTGGGCTTCTCGCGAGCACGCTTCGGATCGACGCTTCTGATACTTTGGCCGCGTCGCGCAAAGAGAAAGACGAGTGAAAGAGAGATAGGCAGGCGGATCAGATAATCGGAGTCAATTGTATCTGAAACGTGGTTGCAGATACGCGTAAATATTTGTACAATAACTGTAAGAATTAACAAACCAACGCCCAGACGTCTCGGTCCACTTCGGACCCTCCGTAACGGTCCGCTGAAGGAGTGTCTTGCGTTCAGCGTTAAATGTTACAATCCGCGTCTCTCTCTAAGGTCTGTATTAATAGATATTACTTGAAAGTTGCTTCAGCTGTGTGTGACATGCTCTGATTTTAGCTTGGAGTGAGCTTTTCAGGTGAATCGCGATTACAAATGTAACGTCACACATGGAAAGGACAACTCCGTTGGTATAACTGAATTTGGGAATCAGACAAAAAACTCGTTTATAGAAGTAGGAAGATTTCTGTAGGAGATTTTTACTCAGAGAGAGAACCAATTGCTCTTATTTACCTCAACCGAGCTTTAACGTAGTTGAATGCTCGGACGAATCGGTCACGGTAACAAAGATATCGTTTCCCGTCAACGAGTCTTTCGTCTGAATTTAGTTATGCAAAGAGAAATTCTGTTCCCATGCATATAAGGTAAAGGCTAATGTCTGGACATCTGATTCTAAACATTTTTATTGTTTCGGTCTCTAAAGACGAATATTTAAACTTTCAACATAGAACACATACATTGAATACGTGTATTTTCTATATTAAAAGTTCAACTACTTTATTACTATTTAAGGACCAAAAGGATATTCAGAATCAGACACATGTCCAGGCATTAATACTTTTAGCTTATATGATTGAAACAAAAGAACTCGAGTCTTTAAATTTAGATCTGAGTATCTCAGAAGACAAGTTTCAAATAAGCCTAAGATTTCGAGTGTGAATGAAAATTGTCGGAATTCGAGTGTCGCGATACTGTTTTCTACAGCCTCATTCCGGCAGGCAGGTAGGCCAGCCAGCCAGCTGGCTGGCTGGCTGGCTGGATAGATTCGCGACGCATGAAATTGGTAGCGCGTGCCGAGGCATCAATGATTAACGCGATTGTTAAATCGGAGAACGCGCGTGCGCATGAGTACGTATGCTCGCTCGCTCGCGCGCGCACGCGCGCGTAATTTCTCATTAAAAATCCCCGAGGCCTGACGCTAATTGCGCCTTCGCGATAATCTTCCACCGGGCGCGTTCCGCCCGACGGTGAGCGGGAAACGGTACGGCTTCCGCCGCGAAGCGGAAGCATGGAACGAAGGCGTCGAACGGAACCGAGAGAACGAACGAGCGTGATCGCCGGGCCGTCGAGGAAGTGTCCACGCGCCGACTTGCACTAATTGCACGAACAACATAAAGAAAAGAGAGACAGAGAGAGAGAGAGAGAGAGAGAGAGAGAGAGAGAGAGAGAGAGAAAGAAAAAACGTTCTTCAATGGTGCTTCGATAAGTCCAATGTGGCTCGCGATCACGCCATCGTTCTCGATATTTATCTCGCAATAATCGTGGCTCGAAATTAAAACGTCGTTAAGTAGAAAGTACGAGCGCAAATGCGAATTCCTCCGCCTGGCGGGTTTCTTTCTTTCCCCACTTAGTTTTATCTCTTTTCAGCCGCGACATACCTTCGAGACGGAACGTTCGGTAATGTCTGTCGTCGATCCTACACGCTGCTCGCGATCACGCATTTACCGGTCCGCTTATGTTGAAGAGGGGGCCGCTCAAGACCGGCTCAAAGGTCGCGCTTGTGCCGCGAAGAGTGCGCGACGTGCCTCGTTCGTTAATTCGTCGTCGTCGTATGCGTGTGTTGTGTACGTGTCGGTGCGTGCGTAAAGTGCGTATGCGTGCTCGCGTGCAAATGCGTGTGAAGTGTCCATGTCTGCGCGTGTGCGTGCGTGCGTGTATGGTGTGTGTGTGTGTGTGTGTGTGTGTGTGTGTGTATGTATGTGTGTACTGTGTGTGTTTCTGTGAGTTTTACTCGCGCGTATGGTCTTTGGTTTCTACAAAAAATATATATAATATCCTTAACAGTAGTGATCGTTACGTCGACTCCTGATTTAAAAATCTCAAACTTATCGAGTTACTCTACGATACTCTTAAGAAGGGCAGGATGGGGGGGTCGTCGTGCCTACGGGAGAGAAAAACGTGCCATCGGGGCGCTTGACTTTTATTACACGGGCCATATATATATTTATATATTATATATATACTCGTATGTTATATATATAACTATATATATTATATATATATAATTCGTATTATATTATATATATTACATATATAATTATATATATAATATATTTCTCATATATATATTATATATATATAATTTTTCTTGTTCTCTTATATTTATATATATATATATATATATATTCAATTTATATATATTTACATGGTCGCGCGCCGACTGCGTTCGCCGAGGCGAGCGCGCGTTCGCCCACGAATGACGCGTGCACGCTCCTCGACGAGGAGAGACATCTTCGCGGAGCTGTGCGCGCGCTCGCGAGGGCGTTCGCGACCATCGCGTGAAAATTACGCTAACTGAGGATCATTAAATTAAACTACCTACCGGCGCGCGCTTAGCAAGAAGAGCGGCGGCGGCGCCGTTCCCCGACTCGCGGCCGGCTCTCGGTGTGTGTATGTGTGTGTGTGTGTATATATGTGTGTGTGGTCCTCGCTCTCTCTTCGGATCACAGCAAATAAATAAAACGCAGAGAGGCGACACGCTGATAGCGCGTTATCGGGGAAACGGCGACGGCGCGAGACGACCTCGCGCGCCGATGTCACCGTCGCTCGCGTCGAGTTCTTACACGCTTCTCGCGCTTCTCGTGCGAGCGCGCTTCTGTTTACCGTTCAACTCGTCGTCACCGCGACCCTCGAGCCGAAAGCCCGAGAGTCCTGTGTCGTCCACCACCCTGAGAGCGCGATGAAGTTCGAAAGCCCGAAAGCGCGCGGCCACTCCTGGAATCTTTTCAAAGTTCCTCCGGCCGGCGGACCAATCACTGATCCAGCGGCGCCGGTTCTTCAGCTTCTTCGGCGCGGAGAACGTCGGGTCGTCCCGCGATCTTTGCGTGTGTTGAATCTTCCTCGGCGCCCATGGATCCGCGCCGGTATCCCCGCGCTCCGAACTCTCCGCCGTCGCGTTCCGCCGGAACTCGCCGGAGCGGTTGGGGGAAGGAGATCATTGCTTAATTTCGACGTGGTGTCTCTTCGTGATATGGCGTCCGTTGTCGCAGCCGGCTGGCCCGCTCATGTCTGCTGACGGACACTCCGCCTGCAGCCTTTCCCCCGTGCTGTTGTTGCCCGACCATCAAGCCAGGTAGAGGTCCGTCGGCGTGGAGGTGTGGTCCGGCTTCGTGCAGGCGCTTCCGGTCGGCGAGGCCGCGCTGGCACCGCTGCTGGCTCTGGTGGCCGCCAGAGGCGAGCGACTGGCCACGTCGGCACTACTCTCCGGACCACCGCTGCTGCACCCGCCGCCCTGCTGCGACGTGTGGGTGGACGTGTCCCCGTTGCAGTAGTAGTACGTGGAGTCTGCAACGAGAGAGAGAGACGGTCGCGTTCATCGCGAGCGAAGTGTCTTGCGGGCTTTTCTATCCCGCTAGTACGGCTGATGTACCCTGCTTAACATCGCGAGTTCTCGTCCGTGCCACGCGATTCATGCTTTTGTATCACGGAAAAAATGCACTGCCCGATTCAGCAGATCTATAGCTTGGGTAAAGAATTTGGGATTACAACTGTTCAGATTCAGCAAGGCAATATGTGAGGAAACAATCATCAACTTGCTCATGGAAGGAATCCATTTTTGTAGATGTCTTAACTATTGTGACAAATCAGTTCGTATTTCGAGTTAATGTAAATTTACGAAACAATTTCATTAATTTATCTGAAGAGATCATGCAGCATTTACTCAACAGACGATGAACAAATATTTTTGCCCAGTTTAGGCATAAATAATTCGGGTTTGTTGAAGTTGTATTAATGCACGTGTATCAGATTTTTCCAAGACTGGCATACAAGATAATTTTCAATTACTAAGAAATGAAAATAAACTCATAAATGAGCTTGTTACTTCCACTAACTTTTTTTTACTAGAGTTAATTATATTAGCTATTATATTTAGATTAATATTTATTATAATTAGATTAATTATATTAGTTATAATGAAACCCGTTAATGCATCAAATTTCCTTTGATAAAAGAGCAAAAGAATTAATGTCTCAATATGTTTTATCTGAACTAAATATCCTGGTTTGCATAGGGAATCGTCTTTAGTGTTGTCATCAGGTCAGTTTTACTACAGCGAGAAAAAATACTTGAAAATTTGTTTGTGGGATCTAAAGTTTATGTACAGAAATAAATTTTATTTCACAAAAATAAATTTTCAAACATTTTCTCTCAGTGTAAGGTTAGTGATTGTACTTGATAAAATTTGACATTATATACTGAGAAGAAATACTTGAAAATTATTTGTAGGATATAAAGTTTATTTCTGCGAAATATAAATTTGATATCTTACAAGTAAATTTTCATGTATTTTTTCTAAGTATACTTGTATACGAGACTTAGTTATCATGACACAGAGAAAACCGGCTATCCCTGTATTTTACGGCTATAGATCTGCTAAATTAGCGAGGTCCTTAGTGGCAGCGGCAAATTCTTTGTTTCCGTGATAACGGCGTACCCGTGAACGAGGTGCGTTGTTTACGTCGCGCGTAATTTGTAACGTTGCATATTCAGGCGTTTTTGCCGCGCGCGCGCGCGCTTGACTGTACCTTTCCCGTGCAGAATTAAAGCGGAAATAAATTGTGCTTTGCCGCGAGGTGCGCCTATCTAATTTTCGCGTTTAATTACAGCACCTCGCGTAACGCTCGCGTGGAATATCAAGAACGCGGCGGAATAAGTTGGCCGCGCGAGGAAGGGGGAAGGCGCGCGATTGCGTTGCGATATCGCGAACGGATCTCCGCATTACGTGATGCAAGGAGCGCACGGGCTGGCAACGTATCGCGTGTCTGATAGCAAGAAAAAAAGGCGGTTTATTATTCTATTCGTTTCTACGCGCGCGCGCACAAGCTCTCGTCTACCTGCGCTCTACAGCGCGGAGCAGCGGGGGAATATGGCGATCCGCGCGCGGTGCCACCGATCTTGCGTTATGAAAGATAGGCATTGAATCGCGCTCACCGCTATATTAGAAACCGAGAATGAAACGACGTGACTCCTTGCGGAACTAGTCCGATGTTATCTGATACGAATCGAATTGTGAGCCGCGTTAACGAGGAACGGCCAACTAAGGGGGCTAGAGGGTCCTGTTCAGCTCGCACGGGAATTGTGTCCGCGCCACGGTTCACGCGAGCGTAACCGCGAATGAAATTCTTTTTTTCACCTTTTCTTTTTTTTTTTTGCTTTGCGCTGACCGTATCTTCGGGTATCGCGTACGCGCGTAACTTCCGCGGGGAGATAAATAATAGACAATGCTGACTTTCGCGCGCGCGCGCGCGTTTCGTTTCGAACATGACGTCGGTCTCATACGCGCGGAATGCGTCCTGGTGGTCGCGTTTTCTCACTCTCCGCGTCAACGATATTCATCGGAATGTCAGGTGGGCCGGTCGGTCTCCTCCTATCACTCTTTCTCTTTCTCTCTTTCTCTCTCTGTCTGTCTGTCTGTTAGTGCTTTCGTATTTCGATGACCCTAATCTAATCGGTACTCATACTCACTGTTTACTTACTGAGCAACCCGCTTGTCGCCGCCCCATAACCGTAGCCGCTGTACGGCGCGCTCGAGTACTGGGAATACGCAGCGCTGTACGCATAATCGCCACCACCTGAACAAAAGTCGACGATAAGCTGGTTAGCGTCGCCGGGCACGTTAACGTGCGTGACGTCACGAATCTTAATTAATTATCGGAAAATTAGTCCTGTAGGTGCGCGGGCAAATCAGGGTTTCGCATTAACTTGACTCTGCAAGGCAGTTAAGAGCAGGCGAGCTCGCGAAAGCGCTTAATATGGCTGCTCATTGAGACGATGAAGAGAACATCGTTCTAGTAATTAATTCCAAATAGATAGAGTCTAGTAGCCAGTCGAGAAACGGCAACAACAATTTCCTTTCTTGCTTTCTTGTTTCTTATTTATCCATTTATATCGTTAAGAGAAGTTGTTCGCGAGAAAATCGCCAATGTACACCTAAGAAAATATAATCTCACGTGGCGGAATCCTCTTATATGGGATATGAGTCACCTAACGTTCTGTCATTTCTACTCTTCTAAAATTCTAAAATATTTCTATTATTCCTCATATTAGAGAAAAATGTATGTGGAATAAATTATGCGATTGGAAGGGATAATTATCGCGGCCCCAGCCAATTCTCCCAATTACATAATTTAATTCTTGCTCATTCTCCTTTAATATAAAAAAAAAAAAACAACAGAGATATTTTCGAATTTAATATTAGGTGACTCATCCCGCATATGGCCTAGAGGATTCTTCCAAAGTCAAAAGAAAAATATCCTAAGCGCGATATTATTTTTCTCCCGATTGGGAGACAAACACTCCTTCGGTAAAAAGTTTTGCTTGAACATAGTTTTACAGTAAGTAGTCTCTTTGCTGCGCGAGAGATCGTAACACAAGAGGCTTCCATCCAAGGGATGAGATTATATTTGTTGGGTGCAGGTATATATAGATTTACCGGTGCAGGTATTACTCTGCAAACAGCACGAGCGAGGAAACAAAAGTACCGTTCCGATTGCACGTCGACTAAGGATAACACCGTCCGTGATATCCTCCATTGGTACGCGTCTCGTCTCCAACGAGTACGAGGCGTCCTCTCCGCAAAAATTGCTACCTGCTCGTAGCCACGAACCGGTAAATCAGCGCTCCTCGACAGAGCTCTGACTTACCCTCCGACTGTACGCCGGCTCCGGTTCAACCCTCGGAGGGTACACGAAGCGAGCGAGCGCGTGTCCTTGACGTGTACGGTTAAGCAAGCTTTCTGATTGGTACTCACCGGTAGCGTAGTGTCCGAAACTTGGTAGCATCGTCGAGTACGGCGGTATCGCAGAGGCTACTTGGGGCTGAGAAACTGGCGGCTGCAAGACCGTCAGTCCGGGATCCCCTCCGGAGGTATTGGGGGCCGCGGGGGTGGCGTTTGTCTCGTTCTGCAACGAAATCGGGGGACTTTGCTCGCCCCCACCGGCCCCCACCCCTACATACGATACTGCGACGGTACTGCTCTCTGCTATGGCCATGCACAACACAACACGACATTCGAGTCAAGCACTAGCTAACGATCAGCGCCTTACGTCTAAAGCTTAATTAAACTGTTTCGGTGGGAGTAGCCGGCGGATTGGTATAGAAAGAGGGAGAGTCGGGGGAGTCCTGGGGGTGTCTTAATCGCCGCGGAATTGTGCATTCCGCGAATGCAACGGAATTGTTTCACGTCTCTGAGCCCTTTGCGATTTCTTTCCTCTTACTTTTTCTTTTCGTTAGCCTCACCGCACACACGCTCGACGTGCGAATTGACCCGAATTTCAGCTTGGAAGACACGACTCTATCATTAGGGGGTAGGATTACGTGGCTTTAGGGTCTAGCTTCCAACGTAAAAAAAAAAAAAAGACAGCGTGTGATAAAGTAACAGAAGAAAAGTAAAACGAATGCTATTATGTTTTTGCGCTGAAGCGACTGCAACACGCTCCGCGTACAAGTTTTTGGCTCGTCAGACATAAAGTGTAAGTGGCTATCATGGGTAATGGTAGGATCCTCATGGGTAGCGGGAGATACCGCGCTTGATCCCGCGGTAAAGTTAACACCATGAACACTCGACGGTGGTAGTACACACTTGAGATGTGGACATATTAGTTGGACACGCGCATCTCCGAGAGAGGCTCAGAACCGTATGCTCAGCGGAACAGGTGTACATGACTCGGCGCGACCGTAAGAGAACTAAAGAGGTGGCGAACTCACCGGTGGTGTGGTAAGGAGACATGTTAGCCCCGTCCAATGTTTGGCTCAATTTTAGTTCTTGCATCGTCAGTGGCGCGAGCGGCGTCAAAGTACCACCTGCTATTAAGGGATCCCCATTTTTCCGTTATTGCGGTTCTCGTATCGTCGGCCGACGATCAAGGCGGAACGTGGAGAAGCGCGCGCGTTCCCCGGCTCTTTTCGGCATGAGAAATCGCTCTTTTCGTGTATGATAAGAATGATCACCGGCGCGAACTGCGAGAATATCTGTGAAGCCGCTGATACGTCACTGATCGCGCACGCGTTGAACGGCAAATCGAGGACGAAATACTCTCGCGTACGCTCGAGCGGAGCACCTTAGTCGCCGCGACACTACTACATATTAAAGACGCGGGTAGCAAGCCGTGCGTTCGACTTGGGCTCGCTTAAGTCGTCCTTCAAAAATCCTTCGATCCGGGGCGAAGATCCTCGATTGAATTTCATGAGATGAAGCCGCCGTTACACGCCTCGCTTCGTCCATTCCGAAAAGCACCGATCGGGAGAATTCGCGGCGCGCGGCACGGCGTGACCGAGTTGCTCGCAACACGTGCCACCGGAGAAAGTTCTGCTCGTGTGTTGTATGTACCACGCGCGCGTTCGGCGGTTACTTTTCAATAGCTCGTGCCGGCTGTGTATACGTTCCGCCGTTGATCGACCGCCTTTAAACGGCGCAAGAAAATTTCAGAGTGAGATGAAGAGTAGAAGTGACAGAGAATAGATAGATCTATTTAGAAAAAGAAAGAGAGAGAGAGAGAGAGAGAGAGAGAGAGAGAGAGAGAGAGGGCGTGATAATGTAAATATGTATGTGATATATAGAAGTAAGCAAGAGAGTTTAAGTGAAGAAATAGATCCTGCAGATTGTCATTCTGATAGAGAATGAGATGGTTGACACGAGTGAAGAGAGAACGAGAGTAAAAGAGACGACTGATAAACAAATGTATATGTGTGTGTGAGAGAGAGAGAGAGAAGAGAGAGAGAGAGAGAGTTATTCCCCGAAGCTGAAAACGCCGAACCACCGTGTGGAGCCTTCCGCCACCTCTTCTGCCGTTGCTCGGCACAGCTCATGCATTATTAAAGCCATGTATTTAGCCGATATGGGTATGCAAAGCAAGACGTAAGCCGCAATAATAAGCGTACTGGAAAGAGACGCGGAGTAAGAGGAGGAGGAAGAGGAACAGAGCGTGAGAAAGATAGAGAGTGAAAGAGAGAGAAAGAGAGAGAGAGACAGAGAGACAGAGATACTCGGCAGTGGAGAGGGTGAGGATACGAAGGTGGATGGCAGGTCGGAGGAAAAGGACTCGGTATATGGCATTACGTACAAGAGGTTGTGGTGCATACATACTGTCCGGGATTTCCGTGCGAGGGGAGGAACGACAGAGAGAAACAGAGAAGGTGAGAGGAGGGAAAGAGAGACAGAGAGAATGAGAGAGAGAGAGAGAGAGAGAGAGAGAGAGAGAGAGAGAGAGAGAGAGAGAGAGAGAGAGAAAGAGAGAAAGAGAGTGACAACAAGAGGGGGACCACGCTGATGGGGATGAGAAGGTAAGGGTGGTGGGTGCCAGAGGATGAAAAGAGAAGGAACGAGCGCGCTCACCTATGGTGCCCCCTATGGGCGGGGTGTAGAGATGGGGAGTTTGCGCTTGCGTCATCGTGCTGATGGTGCCCAGGGAGTCGTACAGCTCGGCGGAGGTGGCAATAGCGTTCCCGGGGAATCCGCCGTGTTCGTAGTAACCGCCGCCACCTCCGCCGCCACCGCCGCCGCCGCCTCCGCCAGTACCACCGCCTCCGCCGCCGCCGCCACCACCGCCGCCACCGCCGCCGCCACCGCCGCCGCCGCCACCTCCGCCGCCGGTCCCACCGCCGTTCGTGCCGCCGGTCGCACCGCCGCCTCCGCCGCCGAGCTCGCTCAGGAACTTGTGCTCGTCCTTGATGCTCCATTTACTCGACCACAGCTGCAACAGACCGGCGGAATCTGAAGTCGAAGTTCGCGAGTTGGAGGGACATCCGAGAACAAGCGGCAAGATTGACTTGGATGTTGTAGCTACGGCCCGATTCGGTCCCGCGATTACCGCAAGGGCTGCTCGAGAGTTATGCCCTATGGAGATTCTATGGAACTTTGCGTCGCTTTTGATTGATTACGACGTCCACATTGAGATATGCCCAGACCCGCGCGTTGACCCGCGCGCGCCCGAGATTTCCCCAGATTTCCTCGGTCTTGATTATTCGCGCGCTAATGCGACCAGTTGAGCGATTAAATGCCCTCCGCTAAGAAGTTACTCGGAGAGTGTAACTTTTTATCACTCGGCACTATCACACTTTCCTTGTCGCTCAGCAGCGATCCTCGCGGGTAGGGAAGTGTTTTCGATACTCACGTTCGAGTAGAGCTGGTCGCCATTGTAGTTGCTTCTCTGCCTCTTCAGGTCGTTCTCGGCGTGGTCGTTGAGGTCGCGATTGTCATCTGTAATCGTGCAGAGGTTCGCGTTAAAATCGACGAATGGCCATTCGAATCGCTTAATACGCTAGTTTATATTCTCGCTGCCAGGGCGGCGCGCAGAACGCTCAGAGAGAATTCCCATTTCCAGCAGTGTTTCTGCGGTATCTCGAGTTTGATAATTTCGAAACGCGAGGGAAAATGGATCGGCGATGGCCGGACGACGGTGTATCGGCCGGCGCGATCGCACGTACAGCACCCACACGCGGCCGCGCCGCGATACACGGCCTCTCGTATTACCCACGAATCAAGACACAAATTAAACGTGGCCGGCCGAAACTAAATTGAATCTGTCGAGTGGACTGGACGCGCGGCGCGGCGCGACGCGGTGCGACGCGACGCGCTGCAGCGCGGCTCGCGCGCGTAGACGCCGTATGGCATTGATAGATAGAGAAACAATTTCGATTCCATTATATGTCTTTATTATCTCCCGGCCGTCCCGGCGGTTTAATATAGGAACAGGCACGTGGGACAAGAGTGTCGTTATTCCGGTATGCCGGGGGTGGGCACCGCGAACCCTTGCCGAAGGGGGTAGAGTGGCGGAGGGGTGCAGTAACGTGGAGCGAGGTCGAGGACGGAACCGACCGGTGAGAGAGCCACATGAGCACGCGCGCGCGCGCGCACACACACACACACACACACACACAGCAGAGCTGGATGAGGAAAAGCGACGGGGGGGGACAGAGAGTACGGACGTAACGTCACTGGTGGGGGTGGATGGTCCAACGTTCGGGGTATCTCGAATAATTAAATGACCATCCGAGGGCGGGACGGGCGGGGGGTGCGCCTAGCATAGGGCTCGTTAAACCTCCCTGTCAAGTTGTGATTGTCCGGCCGGCCGAGCGACGGTCCCGACCATTCGAGCGGCAGGGTTTGT